TAAACAAAGGAGGAGGCTGCAATGCTTGGTAAGAAATGTACGCATTATCCTGCCCATGCAATTGTAACCCCTCCGTACAGTATGTTCACAAATAAAATAAAATAAAATTAAAAAAAAAAAAAGATGATGCTAAGGTCTGGGAAGGTGGCTCAGTGGTAGAGCGCTTGCCTTGCATGCCTGAGGCCCTGGATTCTATTCCTCAGCACCACATAAGCAAAAAGAAAAAAGCCGGAAGTAGCGCTGTGGCTCAAGTGGTAGAGCACTAGCCTTGAGCTGAAGAGCTGAGGGACAGCGCTCAGGCCCAGAGTTCAGGCCCCAGGACCAGACCCCCCCTAAAAAAAAGATGATGCTAAGCAAAATGAACTCCAAGACTTGATGTACTATATGATTTCTTTTTTTCTTTTGTGTTTTCCCCCCTGTGGTTTATACCCTGTTGATTTTGGTACCCTGGGTATTGTATAGATGTTTATCTCAATCGGGGAAGGGAAGGAAGGGGAACAACAAAATGGTGAGACAAAGGACAAAGGGGGAACCAGTGCAACAGCGATACTCACAAGGCAATATGTTAGAAATGATCTGTAGAAGTTGGGGGAGGGGATTGGGAGGGGAAGAAAGGTAAGGAGAGAAATGAGGGAGGGGGAGTAACGAGTTGGACAGGAAATGTACTCACCACCTGACTTGTGTAACTGTACCCCCTCTGTACATCACCTTGACAATAAAATTCAAATAATTAAAAAATTAAAATGTGTAGCAGTCCAGTGACAGAAGCATCATGTTATAACTTCAGCACTGCAGTTCTGAGTGTCCCAAGCCATTAGCAGAGCTGAGAGGACCATTCATGGTCTCTACCTCTGCTGCTTCCTTGGCTTTGGGGCATGAAATCAGCCATTAGTGATCTATGAGCAAATGAATGTGGCTGGGGTACCAATGTAGTTTCATGTAGGGACACCAAAATATGAATTTCATGTCATGAAATGACATGTTTAGTTTTGCTTTTTTTGTTTTGTTTTAACCCAGCTGTTTAAAAATTGCCCTAACCCAGGCAGTGGGCTAGATTTGGCCTACAGGCTATAGTTTGTGGATAGATCCCTAGTCTCCATCTAGATAAATGGAACAAAGAATCCAAGGGCTCTACTAGCACCATTAACTCACTGTTATGATTGAGGTTATACATTCTTTCTCAGTAGTACTGTGGTGAAGATCATTTTTAAATATCTTGGTACATCCTTGCTACATCACAGATGCATACACACACATACATATGTATGTACACGGGAAGGGCTTTGCATTAAAAACATCTGTATTTGATTCTCATCTTTATAGACTTGACATACCTAATTCTGAAGGCTCATCTCTATTTTTTGTTCTCTTCTGTAAGTAGAGTTGTCCTTTTGCTATTGACATAAAGCAATTATCTTTAAAAAAAATCAGATAATTTCTTTTTGTGTATTCTGACACTTTAACTATTTGTATTTTTCCCACTCTCTGTTCTTACTAATGGAAGGATGTATAACAGAACCTGTGAAATGAAACCATGAATTAATATATCTGCTTTTGGAGGAGTGGGGGTACTGGGGTTTGAATCCAGGCCTTGCTCTCACTGGAATACTTTTTTGATTGGAGAGTTACTTTAAATCAAAATCAACTTCTCATGGGAATCTCATTTGAAATAGGTGTACTTCTTGCATAGCCCATGGCTGGGTGATGAAGGAGAAAGCAAAGTAGTCAGTTGGCTGAGGGCACCTTACGTAGGACTTTGAAATATTAGAAGTAATATCTCTGTGTTCAAATGTGAACGATTATAAATATTTTGATTTCAACTTCGTGGTCTTGGAGGACACAAAAGACTAAATTACACTGACATAACTTTACTAGAAGTTAAGATTTAACAAGAGGAGCACACGCATTTTTCTATAAGTATTGCTGCTCGATTTGGGTGAGATTATGAATTCCTAATAAACAAAGTATGTTGTAATTTTGACCCAAAAGACTTTAAGATTCTCTGTTAGGAAAAGCAATTAAATTGGGAGGCTTCAAAGAAAAGAACTGTTGAAATACATTTCTTAAGTAGTTTCAATGTCAAGAAAAGAAGAGGATGATTTTCTTTCTCTTTTTTTTTCTTGTCTTAGAGAATATGCCATCAAATTACCTTTACCCATATTTCAAATAGCCAAAATCAAATAATATATAGTTCAGTCTATACTCATATATCATTTTTGAACCCCAATATCTTACAGAGTTAAATATTTTTTGTTACATTAGAAAGGTCTTGGCCAGGATGTAGCTCAGTGGCAGCACTTTTAGCTAGCATGTCCCAGCTCCTTCCCCTCTTCCCCAAAAAAGCTACTTATGTGAATGAATAGTTGACTATCTAACTCCACAGCTTTTGTTCAGCAAAACATGTAAGTAGTATCACCATGTTGGATAAGAGTTAAGAAACCTAAGATAGTTAAGGTCAGGCTTTGCTGCCAGATGAGTGTTGTGCCAAGCTTAGAAAAGCAAAGGGAGGGACAAGAGTTGTAGTCCTTCACTTTGTGATCTACTTTTGTTTTAATGGCATATTTAACATGTAGAAAGTATTTCAGATATAACTTATTTAATGACTTTTATGTTAGTGTAACTGAGTTCATTAAATTATTTCCCTAATGTTAAGTGATAAGATGCCCTTCTGTTTTTGCTGTTATAAGTAATACTAAGAAAATAACCTTTTGTGTGTATATTTTTTGTCTGGTCCTGGAGAGCAAACCCAGGTCTTCTTGCACATGCTATCAAGTCTTGTACTACTGAGCTACATTCCCAGCCCTCGGTTTTCCCAACAGGGTCTCACTATGTAGACCAGGCTGGCCTCAAACTTGGGATCCTCATAACCTCTGTCTCCCAAGTGCCAGCCTCACAGGCAGGTGCAGCCACACCTGACGTATGTGTACCACTCGCTTATGCCAAGTAAGTTTCTCAGAAGGTAACAAAGATTAAACATTTTAAGGAGCATGCTTTCTGTAATTTTCTTAAAGGTTTGTGTGAATCTGGAAGGTCCTCAGAATGAATATACTAGTTTCTCTGTAGTCTCCCAAATGATGCATTGGTTATATAAGCATTTACATTAAAACAGGTTGCAACTTCAGATAATATTAAAGTTACCTTAACTTTCATCCATCTGACCACCAGATAGATGAGTAATACTTATCAGAGTACATTTTTGCATAGTTGAACTTTGGTTGTGATTTAAATGTGGTGCTTATTTTCTTCCTCAGCAGAGCTCCCTTGTTCTAAGGCCCCTGAAATGCTAAGCATCAGTCACTGTAATGTAGAGCACCTTCAAGTTTGCACCTTAGTTAACTGTAGGAGCATCTGCAGAACACTTTCCTATGGTCTTGGCTTATAGTGCCTTCATCTAGATTCACTTGGGGAAAAATCCTTGTTTCATCTGTGGGATAGGAAACGTCTGTGGAGCTCTTGAGGCAGCAAAAAGCAAGTGTCTTAAAAATGCTTTTAAATTCTTAGAGAGACTTACAAAAAGTAGGTTAGCCTATAATGGGCTTACTATTGGTGCTTTTTAATGAATTAATAATTTTGTTCAAGTTGCTGTAACTTAAGCATTTTAAGACATGAAAGGGATAGTGAGACCAAAAAGTCAAGAACTGCTTCCTTGAGGCATTTGTAGCATAATTCCAGACACCCCCTGAAGTGCAGAAACTATATCCAGATCTGTTAAATGAGAACCTACAGTCTCTGGTGGTCTCCATTGATTCTCTGAGCCCCAAAGCCCAGCCGTCCTGAACCACAGAAGCAGCTTCAGGTAGGGGCGAGTCCTTCAGCCTGCAGGATCCCTTGGAAAGTGAGGGCTGGAAAACTCAGAATAGATCTCCTCTTGTGTCCTCTGTCTTTAGGTCTGTATTCACAGACACTGGGGCCAAATGAAATTATTTGCCGATATAATAGAAATTGGGGCTCAGAAAAGGGACTCACTCAGAAAAAGACTCCCTGAAGCTGTCTAAGCCTGTGATACCACCTGTGATCTTCTGGAGTATAGTTTTCCCAGGCCTGTCCTTATTTCTAGAGATGTTACACGTTGTTCTTACCTCATCTCGGTGTGCTCTTGTCCCTAAAGATAATCATCCTAGCTCTTCACAAAAAGGCTCTCTCTTTGATTTTAGTTGTAGGTTGTGTTGATCCTCATAAATTTCACCTTTTAATTACAGTTTTTCTTCGGATATGTAGTTCTGTCAGAAAGCACACATGTAATCCCATCCAGATAGCTGGATCACTTAGGATATGGCTTTTGTAAACTAAGATCTACCATTTGGGCAGGGAAGATTTGTGTGTGTGTGTGTGTGTGTGTGTGTGTGTGTGTGTGTGTGCATTTTTTTTGAAGGCTTCATTGTTGAGTTTGAATTGGTGACTTAAACCAAGTGTGCTTAGATTAAGTATACACAAGACAGTACACCACCAACAGGATTTTCCATTCCTAATCCCTCATAACTATTTATTTTCTTGTTTTAGGGTGAATCTGTAAAGTATTTCCTGGACAACTTGGATAAACTTGGAGAATCAGTAAGTATTAAAACCAAATAGTTGTACTTATTCATAATTGAAAGCACTTGTCAGGACATTAATGTTTTTATTTTGGGGTACCCTGTTAAGAAGTTTAGAAAAAGTATATATTAAGCTATTTATTTCTTCCTTTTTTTTTCCCCCTACTGGGAGTAGACTGACTCATCCTACCTTATTTTAAAGCTGTTAGTAGCTAAAGATTTTTTTTTTGGTCAGTCTTGGGGCTTGAACTCTGGGCTTGGGCGCTGTCCCTGTGCT